TTCCTTCTATTTTAAACATGATTTACATTTTTTTCAATTTCTGAAGTTGTATAATAAAGTTTTAAAATGAAAAGACGATTGCTTTTTTATTTGACGTCCTCTTGAATGATAATGAGTGCAGACAAAGCGGATAACTTTTGTGCTTTTTGGTCCAACTTTTAATTAGGGCAGTTCTTTGACGTACAGAGTGCATCAACTCTCGGCTGCGACATGTAAGCAGCTCCGACGTGAGAGTTTTTTCCCGGTTACCGGACATGTTTTCCATTGAATGAGCGTTGGAAGCAGGGTCCAATACACAAAACATTGCGTAAAAATAATATTGCTCATTGTCATCGCCTTTAATGAGAGCTGACATAATTACTTGGACCATTTCTTTTCTAATTAGCACACTTCAGTGTTGTCGGAGCTAGTGGCCGGGCAAAGAGGGAATCGGACAGGCATGCCGAGAGGCAAACAAAAAGAAGTCCATCGGCCATAATTAGGTGAGACAATGCCTCGGACTGTTCTCGGCTGGAGATGTCGCAGGGTTTCTGCCCGCTCACTCCCAACAAGTTACACTTCTCCCCGGGCCGCTAATAAGCCCCTAATCTCCTTTCCGATTCACACGGACAGAGGCCGCCAATTCCTCAGCAGCCTCACCCCCTGCCTCTCACGCGGACCCTGGCTCACCCCTTTTTCTTTTTAAATCACTGGTACAGCTTCACATTTCAGAGAGTAGCTCAGTGTTGCTGCTGGAGTGTGATGGGAGAGGCAGAGAGGATGCACCATGGCCAGAAAGTACATTTTTATTTAGGCTGTGTCCTGATACTCATAGTATTATTTATTTGATATAGGAGCACAATAGAACATCCAAATACAGATGCCTAATCCTATCAATAACCTATAACTGCCAAATTGTCCTGTTAAATAGGTTACAAAACCAGCCATCCAGAAAACGAAATATAACTCTTTCTGTTGCCATTAAAGGCTTGTAGAGGTTACATTTATACATACATTTTTCTTATTTAACGGGGCCTATTACAATTATTATATGATAAGAACATTTCAGTGTTTATTAGTGGAATAGTGGCTTCATTAAGGGTTGATAAAGCCCTCCATAGGCTTTGTATATCAATAATAAGTTATCCTCCTCCAGCCACCTAACCTACTGAAAAGATAGAGCATATGAAGCAAAGGGATTTTTCAACTAGATTTTACCACAAAACTTTATGAACTACTTATTACATTTAATTGCAGACTTGATGGCTTCTCAGAGAGTGAAAACCCCTCCATTTTTGCAAATGCACTGCAAATCTTTAAGTATCATTACCAGGTAAAGGCTAAACATTATCAAGAATTCAGATTTAGCATGAGTAAAAGTAGTGATAGCACACTGAAAACACTGGATTTGAAAGTAAAAGTCCATTGTTGAAATGTTAAGTAAGCTAAATGAATAGTAAAAGTACACTTTCTACAGGAAAATTGATAATGTAATGTTTCCATTCAAGTATTTATGCGACCATGCTGTCACTGGTTGCATGGACACTTGTTGATGCTGACTTGATGAACATTCAGTCTGCTGAGCGCTGACATGGTAAGCGACCTGCCATCCCCAATATGGTACACGCATTGGTGGCTGCCCGTCACCCGCAGCCTTCCTGCAGCCAGACAGCCTTTTCAAGAAACAGGTCAGTCCCTGCTGAGCTGGTCATTCGTGGAGAGAGAGAAAAACCCCTCAGAGCCCCTCCATCCATCCATCCATGCAGCAGTGCGTTGCTTTGACCTCACAAAACCTCTGTGCCCCGACAAACGTCAATCCGATGTGCCCTGAGTCCTTAAATTAGCTGTCAATTAGTGCAAATTAATCAACTCCTCGCCTAATTAAGCAATGCCGACGGGCAGCTAGCAAACATGCCATTGTGGAGGAGCCATGAGAAAGCTGCGGGGCTTACAAAATCTTTTTGCACTGGGGAGGGGAGAGGGAGAGGCAGGTGGGGGCATCGTGTCACATCACGCCCTGCAAGTGCTTTGGGAAAGCATGAGGCTCTGGCTGTGCTTTAGTTTTCCCCCTGACTCTGCTCTACATGGTCGCTGTCATCAGGCTGTCCTGCACCTTGTTTCAACACCGGGGATCAGCATGATTTAGCAAAAAAGACTGAAGAACAGCAGCTTCATGCATAACAGTTCCTAATTTCTAAGGGGAAGCATTTGCTTACAATCTGTTTTGCAGATCATTTTACCACTCTGATCAAAAAACTGAAACAAGTGACTGAGATGATCCTTCATCTGCTGTTGATCATGCATTCAGCTTTATTTCCAGTGGTGCTGTGACCTTCCTGCAAAAGAAAAAGTTGCCTTCTTATTTATTCATTATCACAGATGCATTTCAAGCTTTAGCAGTCACATCAGCAGGATATGATATTCATTATAGTGGGCGGTTTTTGCTTGCAGCTGCTTATCCGTTTTTGACATGCAGCAGAGGTACACCTGTTTGAAGGTTACAGGCTGGGTGCGTTCAGCACTGCTCTTTCACATCTGGGCTGTTAACATCATTTGTGGTAGTTTGAGAACACTTTGTTCCTAATTCTGCATTATAAGCCTTAAAATGCCAGAAGTGCAGAAACAGGAGGAGTGAGGGGAGCGGAGAAAGGATGTTGGGTTAAGGGGGTGGAGAGGCAAAAAATGTCTAACAGCTGTTTTCTTTTTAATCTTTGATGGGCAACACGAATGACTGAACTAAATCATCCCTGAATCTAGAGCCTTATTAGGGAGCCTCTTTTCTGCATGTAAAACAGCATGCGGGTATTTTCATAAGAGATTATTAAAATCCATACAAAGAGGAGAAGTGTCGCACTATATAAACAAACGGAAAAGGCCTGTATGGATTGCAGCAGCGTGATGATGGAGTGAGAGGGGCAGTAACTCGCCTGTAATTGACGGGTCATCCTGACTCACACCTTTCCATGTTAATAAATGACTTAATCCCAACAGGCTGATTCGTCATTAGCATACCGTGATAACATTGATTTCTTCATTAATAGAATTTCCACTAACTAGGCCCTAATTATTTTCAACTGGCCAGCCACTAATTGCAGCAGCAATAATTTTCTCCTTCTTCATCAGCAGCTCATTCCAAACTGTTTGATATGAAAAATGACTGGCTGGGTGTGCCTGCGAATCGTAATTCATGCAGTTTTAGATTAAGTTTTTGTGTTGTGCATGTTGTATGTCCATCTTGTCCCAGTTACTGCAGCATTTTCTTTTTTTGCTACTTTAGGAAAACAAATATATTTACTACATTACTTGAGTTATTATTGCATTGTTATTATTGGTTTATACCTTTGTTGATGCCCATGCAAGCAGTGTGTATCTGTTGGAAGCCATTCACCAATATGCACATCATTGGCCAATATCTTGTTCTAAATTTTTTCGCAAAAAAAACATTGTCACTGTTATCAGCACTACAATTATACCATAGGGAAAAGTGGAAAAAAAACATATTTATCCATGAGTTTATATGTTTGCACAAATATGTAAAATTAGCTTTATCTCAATGACAGTATTTTCTCTTTTAACTCAACACACTTATTATCTTATTAACCCTAAAAAAATAAAAAAATAAATAAACTTTTGTATAATTTGAATATTTTAGGGTAAATACAAAAAAATCCAATTACCCATAATAAGCATATGCTTTTTGTCTTCTCCAATTAAGTCAAATGACGCACATTTAAATAAATCACATTCAAAACGAGTGTTAAATCAAAAATAAAAATAAAACATATTTCTTCAATAACTCTGAAGTGTTCAACAACTCCCTGACACCAAACATCTGCCATAATTTGTCTAAAGAAAATATTTAAGCCTATTTAACTTTCCCTTATACCAGACATATCATTTATACAGTGTAATGTTTAAAATGACGGTTTATTATTTATTTAGCCCTTTAAACCAGTTATTAATATTTGCTTAGTGAATTACAAAAAAATTACAAGGTCAGGTAATTAATTATTAGTCTTTCTTTTTTTCCCATATTGAGTCTAATGCTCCCTACTCCGGGGAGATGTCCCTGCTTTAATCTGTTGTCTGTGTTGCTGCTGTGGGATTAGCGCGCGCCGGCCCGCAGCTCTGTGCTCCGTTGCGTCCAGCTGTCGCTTTTTGGGAGGGCCTTTGATTTGCGTGTGATGAGTTTCCCATAGCATCTGGAGATCAATTATCCATCCGTGTGAGCCAGTGGTTGAGCAGAGAGATCATAGCTGTATGTGTGTGTGTGTGTGTGTGTGTGTGTGTTAAATGTATTTAGACATAGAAATACAAAATGTGTGTGTGCGTGTGTGTGTGTGTGTGTGTGTGTGTGTGTGTGTGTGTGTGTGTGTGTGTGCGCGCGCGTGCGTGTGCGCGTGCGTGCGTGTGTGTGTAAACCATTCAGTGAAAGGCAATACCTACTGATTTATTCCAGGAGATTGAGGTAATTTCGCAGCATTTCAAAGGAAAGGAGGTGCTAAATAAGATTGAAATAGGCCTGATTTTCTAACGACAAAAGGAAATATCTGCAGGCAGCAAATGTAGAGTTTAAACATAGTTGTGAGTCTAGTTCTATTTTTGATGTAAAATTGTAGTTTTAATGTTCCTTATCTTTGTCATAGGCTATTTAATATCTGATTGCAATGATACTGCAGGTTTCCATGCAGTTTTTATTCTCTGCAATTCGCCCTATATGAAGACAGTTATTTTGTTCCTTTCTTTCTTTAGCCTAAATATCTTCCTCGTTTATATAGTCCTGAGGAAAACGCAGATATGTATCCGAGAGGGCGTTTAATGCATCCATGATCCACAGGAATCCTGAATCCTTGCAGCTGATTGGCTGCTGGCTCCTGCCTCTTGTTGGGATGGACCTGTTGGATAAAAGACCATTTTCTAAAGGGCTCTTGGTGTGTTACAGAGGATCATGCACTGGGGACCGTCCTGTGAGACGCTATTGTACACAAAATAAGCCCTTTCAAGTAGCATCTGAATACAGCATGACGGGGAAACAAAGCGCCGTATTGTCGGAAAGTTTACATTTATCGGAGAAAACCTCTCTGGGTGCAAATGGAGGCAGCCACCAGCCGAAGAGCAACGCGACCCATCCGCCGCCCAGGTGCACGGGCTTCGGCATCCAGGAGATACTGGGGCTCAATAAAGAGCCGTCCGCGTTCCCGAGGAGCCCGCTGAGCTCGCTGCCGGCCGGGGCGCACCTACTGGCCGCCAGGTCCCTGCTGGGCCCCGCCGGCATGGGCATGGGGATGGGGATGGGCATGGGCATGGGCATGGGATTAATCGGCCATGGTGGCATTCCGTCGTTCTACAGACAACCAGCGTTTTTGGAGACGGTGCTGTCGGACGCACGCGACGTTCACCTGCAGCCCCACAGGAGGTCCGCGGGCCCGGACACCAGCCAGTCTGCCAGCTCAGGTCACCTGTTAACATTTTATATGTATTATTCATACTGAATACAAATATTTTTGTTTATTTTCAACATGCACATTTGTGCAACACTGCATTGCCTTTCTATTTTTACATTGTATTATTTTATTATTATTTGTTAACGTCGTGGTTTATTATCGTTATTAGCTATTTGTTTTGTGCCTTTAAATGAAATAGTTTTGAATGTCCTGATAAAATATATCAGGGTTGTGTCAATGCAAACGGTTGTTTGTTTATTAATAATTCAAATATCTTCCTGTTGTTAACTTTAATGTTTTTTTGTTCAAATACAGACTCAGATGATTTGTCTTCAAATGAACGAAAACTCTCAAAGTCATCAGTAAATCAGAGCAAGAAACGCAAGAAAAGACGCCACCGGTTAGTGTTGATTTCTGATTAATTAATGACTAATTTTGTACATTCTTTTGAAAATAATACATTTTGCAGTAATTCACACGACTGTTTTTTTTCCAGTAAAATTAAGTAAGTAGGGCTACCTATTTACAAAAATGATGTGCAATGCGAATTGTGATTTTCTTTTGTTATTAGCCATTGAAACTGATTTTTAACAATAAGAAATACTGATAAGAATATACTATAAATTGGCCATATTGGTTGTATTTTCAGTCATTATTGACACCCCAAAATGTAGCATTACCTATTTGTTTTTGCTATGTTTTTCTTTCACCCATTCACAAAGACTTCGTTTTATTGAAATTGGCTCTTATATTTATAGAAATGTGTTCAATGTTGTTTTTCATTTATTTATTTATTTTGTATTTATTTTCCTTTTAAAACTCAAACTCAGACTAGCTTACTTTAAATGTATATCTGGAAGACATATATATTGGAAAATGTCCACATGTTTGAAATGGCAACCCGTCTCCACAGGACCATCTTCACCTCCTATCAGCTGGAGGAGCTGGAGAAGGCCTTCAACGAGGCGCACTACCCGGACGTGTATGCCCGAGAGATGTTGGCCATGAAAACAGAGCTACCTGAAGACAGGATACAGGTAATTCTTACACGTGTTTTAATAAAAAATGTAACAATGAAGGATTATTCACTTGAATGTTTTTACAGTAAATGTTTGAGCAATGACCATCATGTTAGGCTGTTTATTTTCCTTTTTTGCGTTGCCAGTTTCTATGGGGTTGATTTTCATTCTTCTATATTAATTAGCCGTTAAGTTAAAATGAACAGTTATATTTTTTAATGTCTCAATTTATAAAGGATGTTATAGGGTGCTGCTTTAGCCAATTTCTTCCCATGAAAATTGCATATTTTGAAGGAATTAGATATAATAAATGTTTGGCTTATATAAAAATGGCTAATAAGTCCAGGGTTTTTTTTTAAAGGAAAAACATAGTTTTATCAGAATCAGATTCAAGTTTATTGCCAGGTAGCCTGTATAGTTCACACAATAGGCCTACAAGGAATTCACTTTCGTATCAGGTGTGAACATAAACAATCTAAGAAAATAAGTTGCAATGGTAAAAAAATAAATAAATAAGGATAATACAAAATAAGTATCTTTATTCAGTTTGGGATGTTTTCTATAAAGATAGCCTACACAACATGTATTTGCTGATCAAAGATAAGAAATGCACTTATGATGAAGTTAAAGCTAATTTATTTAGCCTACATATTCGTATTTATTTCAATATGTGTATGTATATACATATTCGATGCAAATGATACATCATAGGCCATTACTGTTGTAAAAAATAGTAGCCTAGTTATAAAACATGGCTTACTATTATTTACTGATTGATTTGTGTGAATATTATAAGGCACATATTATTGTGAATATTCACCTCAGTGCTAATAGCCTCCTGTAACATTTGAGGCCGGCAGATGCTCTAATGTTTAGGGGACGAGGGGCTAGGTATAAGCCCCCGTAAATCGATGATCCTGTCCTCCAGCTCCCCTCTTCAGCTCAGATACTCTCTCCAGTTGGATGTGAAATAATGTGTCCTCGGAGAAGCAGCCGCTAACGACCTAATCAAGCTATCAAGGCGGAAGAAGATTGCAGTGTGACCTGGACCATCCATCTGCCAGGAAGCCTTTTAATCTCATTCTCATTATGGCTGCAACAGCACAGCCGAGAATAAATAATACAAAGAGGAAATAAATAAATAAATAAGCCCGGGCCTGCTCCTACCCTAAATAAAATGAACACCCAATTTTCTCATCGAGTGTAATTAGTTAAATCAGATGAGCTGGGGAGGCTGCTGCTGGAGAGTTCAAATGAAATAACTACATTGAATTTATTAGCACGGGTCAATGGCGCTGCTCCCCGGAGTCCCGGTAGTTTAATTTCCCGTGATATTTGCCCGCCGGCCCGCCATCGATTGGGCCTGAAATCAACTTATTTTTCAATCAGCCTCCGCTTGCCCCTGGGTCACTCCTCTTCGCAGCTTCCACACTGGCGTCTTTTGAGGGACAGAGAAGCAATTTCTCATATAAAATATCTTGTATAATATAAGGGTTATCATCAGAATTACCAGGAAAAAAAACATGAAAACGGTTTGATCGTTTTCAATTTAATATCTGTCCCCTCGCCTGAATCTCTTCTCCTCAGAGTTGCCTATAAAGCAGTGTTTAACAGTCCTGTGTTGTGCTATGCTATCAATTTGCCCCCCCTCTCTGAGCTGACAGAAAGCCTGCAGACTGCATAGCCTTAAGCAGTTGTTGGCTGTGGCCAAGTGGAGTGTCATGATCTGTCAAAGCATCTGTAATGCGGCCACAGGTAGCTGGAGATCAGCCCTGCAGCATGCAGGCACAGATCCCTCACCTGTGGCGGCAGCTTATGGCAAATCAATGCACTCAATACAAACGGTGCACTTGTTACCTTAAATTACTCTGAAGCACATTTCAAAATAGGCCATCTTTAAAATAACTACTGAAATGCTGGAATTGAGTTTTGGTGCACACACAATAAATACTAGTATACCATGTAATTGCTAAATAAATAATTTACCTAAGCTAAGGTCAGTTATACCTTTGGGTTGCCAGGTTGGAAAACATCCAATGTGTTGGTGTTATCCTTTCTAAATATGCATTTATAAATATTTGTTATTTATTTTGTAAACACTTAAAGGTATTAAGTGCTGTCATCAACAAAAGTAAATTGCTGCTGAGTATATGGACAACAATCTAGGAGAGGCTAATTTATTTTTTATTTATTTAACCTTTATTTAACCAGATAAAAAGCATTGAGATAAAATCTCATTTGCAATGCTGACCTGGCCAAGAAGGCAGCAACGTTACACATAACACATAACACAAACATATAAAATACAGAGAACATAACTAAGAAAACAAAAGACGAAAAAGCAGTCACTACATTGTGCACATTAGGACAGTAAGAAAGGTACACTACTTATTACTGCAAGAGCAGCTGCCGGTAAGGGCCTCAGACAACTTCAATTTCAAACATGCTATTGAGACAAGTGCCCTCAGTTTGAGGCGTGATTGAAGCTCATTCCAAGACCAAGGACCATAATAAAAAAGACTCCTTTTCCCAGCCTCAGCAGGAACCTGGAACTGTATCCAAGCACTGGATCTGAGGTTGTAAGATTCATAAACTGGAGCAAATCTGGCACATATACTGCCAAGGCACAC